AGCACAAGCTGGGAATGAGCATTATTTGGTCCTTCTACTGCCTCTCAAGGAAAGAAAAGAAAAAATCGTGGAGAATTTATGTATTTTATCGAACTTTGGGGAAAATCAGTATTGGGCAATAGCCAGCTGCATTTTTTGTGGTTCTCAGTAGATATTTTTAGTTAATTTTTATTTGCTTAAAAAAAGAGAGAAAACTTCACACATGGTTTGTATTTTCTACCTACTTGTTGTATCCAAAATAGGTAAGTAACTTCGTATATTATACCCACAATCAGAATGAGAAATAACACACATGAGGTCTGGGTTCTCAAGAGAAATATTATGAAATCTCAAGGTATTGATGAAAGTTTTTCAAGCTTGATCCAAATGGGATTTAGAGTCTGTGGCAGTTGAAATGTGTATTATTAAACTCCTTAAGCAAACCCGATTGAGTCCCACTGGAGGATTAAGACATTCTATGTATAGCAATGACGGAAGTCTCATGTCTTAGTGCTCTCTATTGAATTCCCCTTTGATTAGCTTCTGTAATATTTAACTTCATGCCATGCCATAATTATTTAATAAAAGGTAAATATAAATTATATTTCAGTGGGGATATGACCTTTTACCTTAATGTTATATTACTAAAGAAAGACATAGATAAATAGAGCCTATAGATTGAAGCGTATTTTTAATTTACTCTATTTTCATCTTGCCGGCGTTTCCCTGACCCTGTCAGCCAAAGGGTTGGCAGGATGGCGTATACCCTGCCTTCACACGGTAGGCCAGGCTATAAATTTACATGGATGATGGCCATTAATGACCTGGCTGGCCCTTTGAGACAGTCTTGGTGCTTGGTCTTGGGTACCTCATTAGCTAATTTAGATTCTTGGCTGGCTCAGAAAAGCCAGAGAATGCCAGGGAGCTGGAGGCTGGACAGCTGGGATCCAAGGCGAAATAGATTCTATGGGATGTGACGACAGCCAGGCAGTTGGGAACCAGAGCAGATCGTTGAGCCTGACCTTGAGGCTTTGAAGACAGAGGTGGACTGGTTTTTGACGGTGACCTGTACTTCAGATATGCACTTGATTAGATGAGATCATGAGTGCCCGCTTGCTCATGGGACATTCGTCCCTGCGTAATGCACAGGACAGACAGCACCATGGCTTGCTCGACTCTTTCTCTCTGGCATGTACACGTAGCCCACCCTACCTGCCAGGTGCCTGCGTAAAACAGTGTGCATAAGCAACAGAGAGCTGTGCCAAATCTCCTCCTTCCCTTTAAAACATACATTAGTTACCCTGTGCAGCCAAGATACTAAGTTCCTTCAAACCCTGGGGCTGGAGAGAGGAGGGCAGGAGAGGTAAACCAGACAGAATGTTGATGGCTTTCAGTCTGATGGAGGAGGCCAATCACCAGCTTCTCCAGCAGAGAATTGTATTAAAGAAACAGTGCTCTTTCTTCCCCTTCCCTGTCCTGAGGGGAGCCCAGCTTGGGAGCGCTCCTCTGTGGGCAGCAGGAAGGTGGGGAAAGCAGAAGTGGTGGTGGCTGTGGCAGGTGGCATGGTACGGGCTGCTGGGAGAGGCCTGCGGGGTGGGTGGTGGCACAGATGGAAAGAAGTGGGGGACGCTACGTAGAGAGGGGGGTAGCTGCACTGGTGAGCCATAGGATTGCTTCTGTGTGTGTTCAGCCCATCATGAGCATTCCTGGGCCTTCAGCTTTTCAGATGCCCGAGAAGAAGCTCTTCACTTGGGATGGCAAACGAAGCAATATTTGCTGCTGAGAGTTTTGTCACCAGATCTGTTTGCCCTGCAACTTCTCGGTCACTTCTCGGAGACTTAGAAGTTAGGTTACTCCGGGAGTCACCCCCAGGGGCAGCCCTTTCCTGCAGCTGAAGAAGAGGCGCAGAGAGTGACGGAAGGGCTGTCTCTAGTTCGGAGGCAGGTTTAGGGATTACAGGAGCCAGGGTTCAGATCCTTCTTTCACCCCCTAGTTTACTGTGGGGATGAAGTTCAGCCCATAGGTTTTTTCAATGAGAATTGTGATTGTGGATGACCTACTCTGGAGGCAGAAACAGAAGAATCATGGTTCAAGGCCAGCAGACTATCCACCACAGGGAAAACCACCAGTATATCCTAATTGGGGAGAGGGGATGACGATGTTCTTATTGCAGGTCATAGCCACTCAGCATCCTGTTATTAAGAAAAAGCTTCTTAAATGGATGACTTCGAATGCTAAGCAGAAGAAAACGTTTACAGGATTCCAATTACAGCGCACAGCTAGTCCGTGTGTTTCTAAGCAAAATGGTGACATAATCACTTCTCACCTCCGGAATAAGTAGGAGGGAAATAAAATCAATGGGAATGTATTCATGCTGGATCCTAAGCTCCGCTGGCATGCTAGAAAATGTGTGTGCTGGTTTGAGCGCGCCAGGTTGTTCTGCAGGCTGTGTGGTGGCTGGACTCCAGAATCTTAGGAAAGAATAGAGTTAGACCTGTAAGGAGACTGGAAAGACAAGCACCATCGTAAAAATTGATAAAATGGGTTAAATAATTTGACAAATAATACATGATAGTGAATGGAACATTAAAACACTACCTGTGGAAGACAGATGGGACTAGTATGTCCCTTCACAAAAAAACAAAAAACAAAACAAAACAAAACCAAACTCCAATTCCCAAAGACCACATTTGGGAAATCCAGGGCAGTTGTCTGGGATCAACTATCCATACCCAACCCCCTAGAAAGTATACCTATTTTTCTTGGAACAAAAAAAGAAGTGAAAACTAGATATAGAGCTGTTTGGGAAATTATAACAGAAGGGGAGGTAAAAACAAATCTGATATTGGATCTATGATAAAGCATTTAGAATTGTGAGGAAATGAATGGCTTTTCTAGACAAATGTGATACTGAGAAAGAAGAACAAATGCAAGTTTTGGGTTGGCAGTCAGGTGAATGCTGCTATTGGCCTGGAATCTCCTGACCATGAAGGCTTTGGGAGGGAGGGGTCGGTGGGTATGCAAGTGGCCATCCAGCCAACAGTTGGATATTACAGGCCGAATCCCTAGCAAGCTATAAACTAGAGATAAAAATGTGTGGTGATCAGCACATACCTGGACATGGGAGTGGTGGGGGGGCGGCTGGGTGAAGTTACCATGGCAACAATCTAGAAGGGCATCATATTTGCATAATGGGCTGAAGAACAAGAGCCCCCAGAGCAGGTTGGGATGCTTTACCAGACAGGTTAGTGGGAAGCAGAGTGAGCTCAGGAGAGCTGGTGGAGAGAAACATTTCCAGAAGGAGCAGATGTGAGCTGTGTCCGATGCCAAGTTGGGATGAAGATGATAAGGTTCCCATTGGTTCAGTGAACTCAACAAAAACAATTTGACTGGGATTCGTTCAAACTTTTAAGCAGGAGGTGCTATCCATGTTGAATATCTTTTTTCAGAACATAAACTAACACATCTCTACTTAATCTGGGTGTAGTGACTCAAGCTTACAATCTAACAAAAAGTGACTCAGCAGTGTGTGAAAGGCTTTGCCTATAATGTTTGGTCCACTCATTCTAATTCTTGGCATTTTCCAGTTGAAACAAAATTATACACAAACAAACTATTGCTCTGCTTTTTATCATAGTGAGAAATAAGGACTTGACAAAATACCCAGAATTAGGAAACCATGCAAATAAATAATGGAGTATGTTATGGAGGAAATTTGCAGTTTTAATTATAAAGGAATATTTAATAGCCTGGCGAAAGTTCATGACATGCAGTATTGTTTAGAAGGTTTTCAAAAGTAAATGATGTAACAATGTCAGTAATTTTAAGTACACATGTATTTAAATCTGGAAGGCTAGAAGAGGTAAATTGTGCTTGTCTCTGAAGTGATGTTGTCTACGGTTGGCTTTATTTTTTACTATATATTAAAGTTTGGTTACAATTTCTTTGAAGAGGCCTTGTTTATTTTTTACTATATATTAAAGTTTGGTTACAATTTCTTTGAAGAGGCCTTGTTTCAATGTAGTAATAGCAACAGATATTCATAAAATACACATACAAAAAGAAAGACTTCAAAAAAAAACCCCACACTCTCCAGAGTTTATTATTCTCTAACAGGAGTGCACACAATATTATTTTATTCTTTGTATGATTTTTTTAACCTTTGGTCATACATTAATTTTAAAACCATGAAATCTAATCAACATATTTTGAATAAAAGGAAAAAGAAAGGGAGAAAAGGAGTGAAAAAAAAAACCAAATAAACCAACGCTGAAAATTCTTGAGAAGAACAAAGATACTAAAGGATGTCATTTGTTCATTTACATACTCAGAATTACTTACTTAAACATCTACTGTATTCCTGGCAGTCTTCAGCCATGAAAACCCAGTTGGTGAGACAAAATTATTCTGCTTCAATGGATGTTTTGGTGTAGTACAAGAACCTGACATTTCTAAAATGTGTGTGCTGGGCGAGGGATATAGCACAGAGGTAGTGTGCTTGCCTTGCATGGATAAGGCCCTGGGTTCGATCCCATACAACACACACACACACACACACACACATTTGTTTAAAAGATGAGTGGATATAAAAATACAGTTAAGTGATTGATGTGTGTTTGAGAAATACTTTTTGAGGTAGAACACTTGCTTAGCATGCATATGTCTTGTCTTCAATAAACAGTGCATCCCCTCATCCAACAAAAAGTACAGGTAGATGCCTAAACCGCAAAGGGCTCAAGTGTAGGGCGCACAAGGGCAAGGTTTTATGAGCACAAGATCACAGAAGGTTATGTGTGCATGTGATGAGAATGATAAAGGAAAAAAAATGTTATTTTGAAAGATCGATTCCAGAATTGCATGTGAATTAACCAGCATCAGTGTCAGGATCTCCTGTGTGTACCTTGTGCCTGTCAGTTCTGTGAGAGTCAGTAGCAGAAGGCTTCTGTTACCTGCGTGAGACATTAACAGAAGGGTTACTCTCTGGCTTTGCTGTGTGACTCAGAGAGGATTTTCTCTTTCAGCACTCAATGAACTCACCATTGATTATGGCATCCAGAGGCTGCAGAAAGTCATCCCCAGGCACCCTGGGGATCCTGAGAGATTAGCGAAGGTAAGATACTTGGAAACTCGACCTAGGAAAGCCTCTCTGTAGAATCCCAGCAAATGTAGACAAACCTAGCCTTTTACTCCTCCATTAAAATTAATTAGCCCTTGAAATTGTCTAAAGTGTAGGAACAAGATGAACATAAAATTTAGACTATGAAACATATTATCTTTGGTCTCTCTGGAAGCATGAAACCTAAAAATTTTGGAGCCTATAAAACAGATAAACTGAAAAAATAGTCAGATGATAAAACAATGCTAGCTTTGTGGAAATAAACCTTTTGCTTAGCTTGAAATGTGGGCTTCCTCTGCTTTGTATTTAAATATGAAGCCCATCAATCTAGAAACAAGTATTCATTGAAGGCCTACTAGGTACATACAGATTTAATGACAATAAAAATGTCTCCACAGAAAACGTCGGTGGAAATGTATCACTTTTAAATGATCTTGCTTATGAAAACTTCATTGCAAATCTGGCCCATGATATTCGCTTTCTTAATTTAAAAAACATGTCAATTTATTAGTTGTCATTCAACTAATGAGAAACAATAAAAATTTTACATTTGTATTTGACTTGCACTTTAAATGCACAAGTTAAAAAGTGCTATGTTCTCTATCATGTGCTGTGAGTGTAATTCAAGTACCAGTTATTTCTATATCACACCTTGGTTTTACTCCTGGAAAAATCCCCAGCTCCACCATTAAATTAGGTGATATCTGGAAAGTAGGCTAATAGCAATTTAAAAGGTTGTTAAAAAAAACCCAGGAGGTAGAAAAGACAAGATGAGAGAGGTGGGAGTTGAGATAACTATTTCTCTCTGGTTAACGTGAACAGGGGAAATATTACTGGAAGACTTCATCTTTATTAGAATAGAATTTTGCAGTATGTGTTACCAATATAATTTCAGCACTCTGGACAGCTCCTTGGCAAACAGCTAACCTCAGGTCCATCAATCATGTCAAGAATATTTGGTTAATTAGAGTACCAGAATGATTGTTATTCCTCTTCCTCTCCTTCCCCTCTTTTCTTCCTTCGTCGTCTTCTTCCTGTTCTTCCTGTTCCTCCTCCTCCTGCTCCTTCTCCTCCATCTTGTTTTTAAATATGATGGCCCAGATGTCGTTTTCATTGAATTTTCAAGACATTAAATTTAAGCAACTTTTACCTCCATGTGGTTGGTCGTGGGTTTTGTCTGGGTCCTGACCATATTGTAGACTCGTTGTTCAACAGAATGAAATGATAGATGTAAATATTCTACCAAGCATCAGACCACTTGGTAATTATTGACATATAATTGTGTTGTTTTGCATTTAATCTGTGCATTTCTTTTGTTGGCCGTTTGGGGTTTTCTGTAGTGATGGTAGCTGGAGTCCACCTTTCTTTCTCCCCCAGAAAAAGCTGTTGAAGAGAGCTGCTGACCTTGTGGAGCCCCTCTACGGAACACCCCACAATAACCAGGTGGGATACTTTCGTCCTAACCCCTTGTGTGGAGTTTGACCCTTCATGCTGGGCACGATGCTCACGCCCACCTCTCCCTCCATAGGACATCATTTTGAAGCAAGCTGCAGACATCTCGGAGGCTCTGTACAGCGGCCCCAGGAACCCCAGTCAGATCCCAGCTCTCTCCAGCTCCCCAGCGCACGGTGGCATGATGGGCATCAATTCTTATGGCAGCCAGCTAGGGGTCAGCATCTCAGAGTCAACACAAGTAAATAATCAAGGTACGGCCTCAACTCTGAATCCAGTCAGAATGCATGTTTGTGGTCTTCATGTTAATGTTTGGTTCTGCTGGAGGAGAAGGAACTGGAGGTTAGGACTATCCAGCAGAGCAGCCCTTGAACACAGCCGTCCCAATGTAAGCTGCACCATCACAAATTGGCCCCTGTCAGCATTGCAGATGGTACATCGTTACATCTGAGCTTCTGGCACCAGAGAGAATCTCGTTAACTGTAAACATGTAAAGATGAGGTTGACTAGCATAAATTCAGAAGGGTTTGGCCCTGTGGAAACTAGGTTTGCAGATATTTACTAAATTTATGTTTATACTATTTCAGTTATCCAATTGAATAAAATAAGGTCAAATGTTGCCATTCTCATTCATTCTAGCTGTCTCTCCCCTGTGAATGAATGACTTGATCTTATTTGGGTAACTTCCATTGTGTGTTATCTTATATACAGATAAGAAGCAATGTTACAGTCCACTATACTTCAACATGTGAGGTACATCGTGTTGATTTTTTTTTTGTCAGTTGTGATGCCTGAACTCTGGACCTGGGTGCTGTCCCTCAGCTTTTCAGCTCAAGGCTAGTGCTCTACCACTTGAGCCACAGCACCACTTCCAGCTTTTTCTGCTTATGTGCTGCTGAGGAATCGAACCCAGGGCCTCATGCATGCAAGGCAAGCACTCTAACACTGAGCCACTTTCCCAGCTCCCATCGTGTTGATTTTTATCAGAGGTCAATTTTATTGTTAAAGGGCAAATCTAACTCTACCTTTCATAAATCATTTTTGAAAGTAGTAAATTTTCCTACTGACGTCCTTCACCTTGGGATATTTTATGTCTAATTTTGTTTCTCTATGGGAGGAAGAGTCTTCATATATTTTGCCCAAGGTGGGCTCTTCTCATAAGAGAGTAAGTGGGAGACATTATTACTTCATTATTATTTTTGGTAAACATGGGACCTGTGGACCATATAGCAACATTTTTTATTTGATGACAGTTTGGGCTTATTGGCTAGGTAGGTTTAGAGACAATTATCTCGTGGGTTTGCTTCAGGAGTGACTGGGCTGGATTTCACAAACATGGGAGAGGATTTATCTTCCTCCCCAGCCCACGCACACACTGAGTGCCCACACTCAACCCATGCTGTCTTAGAGTCTTAGGTTAAAGAACATAATACATAGAGCAGCCCCTCATTACTTTTTTTTTTGTTTTGTTTTGTTTTTTGTTCATCACGGGACTTGAATTCTGGGCTTGGGCGCTGTCCCTCAGCTCTTCAGCTCAAAGCTAGTGCTCTACCCTTGAGCCATAGCACCACTTCTGGTTTTCTGAGTGGTTTATTGGAGATAAGAGTCTCATGGACTTTCCTACTCAGGCTGGCTTTGAACCGTGATCCTCAGATTTCAGCTTCCTGAGTAGCTAGGATATCAGGCATGAGCCACCAGCCCCTCCAACACTCTCGCTCTCATTATTTTTTGAATGAACTTGATCCCAGTCTCTGCCATCCAACACTGAAGGCATGGTAACCTCTGCGGACTCATGCTACCGAAAGTGCATCTTGCAGAATGCAACTGACAACAGAAATGTTAGCAGGGTGCCTTCCTCCCACCCTCCCCCAAAGATGCTCTCTATCGTGTGCTCAATTTGGGAAATGCAAGATTTGCAAAGTTAAACTCACTTCCTTATTCTCTAGGCGTTTCATCGAGGAATCTTCAAGAGCTAGTTACGCGCATCACATCTGCCCAGCTTTACTTAATGTACACATGTTTCCCCGTGCCAGCGATTTGTATCTCATAGGAGTCCCATTCCTTAGATGCTGAGTGTGGGATTGGAACAGGGAGGAAAACCACAGGTGCTCTGTGGGTGGGAGGGAGAGGGGGCAGGGAAAGAGGGATAGGTAAAAGGCTAGGGACCTAGTTATCTGCCACAAAGTTATAGTTAGGTAATAGGAGGACATTCAAAGTGTTGAAGACCATGCTTGGGTGATTATCGTCAACAATAATTGTATATTCCAGGTAGTTACATGAAAAGATTTGGAATGCTCCTAACACAAAGAACCCATCCATGTTTAATGTGACAGCCAGTGAGCCTGATGTGATCACTGTCGGTTGTATACACGTATGGACAGTGCCTGGGCTGGCTTTGAACTGCAATCCTCAGACCTCAGCCTCCCAAGTAGGATTACAGGCATGGTGCCCAGCTCTGTGCTATATATATACATATTATATATATATATATTTTTTTGGGGGGGGGTCCGGTTGTGGGGCCTGAACTCTGGGCCTGGGTGCTCTCCCTCAGCTCTTCAGCTCAAGGCTAGCGCTCTACCATTTGACCCACAGTGCCACTTAGGGCTTTTTTCTTTTTGCTTATGTGGTGCTGAGGAATTGAACCCAGGGCCTCAGGCATGCAAGGCAAGCGCTCTACCACTGAGCCACCTTCCCAGCCCCACTGTGTTATATTTTTAAACTATCTTTCAGTAGTTATTATAAAGGGGTTTTGATTCAACACATCTGTTTATGCCTCTTGATCAATGTCACCTCTTCCTTAATCCTAATCTGTGGCTCTGGGACATTGCGAAAACCATTTGGGTAAAGAACCCAGATGGCCAGGCTGGGGACTTACACAATGGTTCCGGGAGACTGAGCCAGTGTGTATGTTTTTCCAGCCCTACTTAGGGAATTCTTGAGGCAAGGAACATGAGCACCTGAGGAGAGTGTTCTTGAAATTCTGGGTGTCGTCGCAAGGCCCTGCAGCTTGCCCTCTCTTTACCCAGAGTACGTCCCTCATGCCAGCAACAAGGACACATGAAGTAGATCACACAGATGCGCCTGCCAGGCTCATGCGGTAGTGGTTGTGGCGGCTGCCTCTCGCTGCCTTTGGACATTTGGTTCCCAGGGGATACGACCTTTTGAGTTATTTTTGGGTTATCTGTTTAAGACACACGGTCCACTCTCCACAGTGTGTGGGGACACAGCGACAAGTAGCAGAAAATAGCAGAGCTCATTTCTCTCAGCACAATGTAAGTTTTGTTACTGCAGACCTCTCCAGTAGTCCCAATCCATGAGTTCTGAGTGTCAACATGAATAAATTATTGTCAGTTGATTGATTTATTAAAAAAATCGATCCCATCCCAACAATGTTTTGACATATCATAAAAATCAAACAGGTAATAGGCATGTATAAACCCAGAGTTAATAGGAAACTGAGATACAAGGGAAAATGGTTAAGAAAACTAGATTAAGTCCAAGGGGCAAGCATGCATGCATTCATTCTATTTAATATTGTCTCAAGTTTACAGAATGTTAGAGGAGAACGTTGTGCTAAGATTTTATGTCCTAGCCGGGCACCATTAGCTCATGCCTATAAAAATAATCCTAACTACTTAGGGGGCTGAGATCTGAGGGTCCTGGTTTGAAGCCAGCCTGGGCAGTAAGGTCTGTGAGATTCTCATCTCCAATAAACTACTGAAAAGGCTGGATGTAGAGCTATGGCTCCAGTGGTATAGCGCTACCCATGGGTAAAAGAAGCTCAGAGATAGCGCCTAGGCCCCCAGTTCAAGGCTAGGGACTAGCAGGAAAAAAAAAGAGATTTTATGTCTAAATATTACTTGTGAGGGGGTCTTAGGGAAAATATGGGTACTTCCACTAAATAGGCTGGGAGGAGGTTTGCCTCAGGCCTTCCCTGCATATGGCAGAGACCACCTGTGTAACAATCCCACAAGCCATGTGATGTCAGGAGAGCCACTGGATGAATCTTGTCACAGAATGATGATGTCATCAGTGAGAGAGCAAATTCACAGCCTGAGTTAGTCAGGTCCTCACAAGCTCCCTGAGGCCTTGCAAATCATCAGTGTCATCACCACACTCCCTTGGAGGAGGTGAGGGATGACGTACTCAAAGATTCCTAGCCAATGAACAGTAAACGTGGGACCAGAACCTCTGTCCCCAGCCTCTAGATAACCTGTGATGAAATTAATCCAGGATGTAAAAATATTAGCGTATTTGTAATATATTCTTAGCCTGAATCATATAAAATTCCTCCCTCTCTGACCACATCCACGCTATGGAAAAGGTAGTTTTGTGCAGTTTGGTCATACATACAGGTATATGTTAGCTTAGTTTCCAACTGTGATCTTCAGATCTCAGCCTCCTACGTAGCTGGGATTATAGGCGTGAGCCACCAGTACCTGGGTAGGGTCAATTTTCATTCATAAAAATGCCTGTGTGAGTGTTAATTGCTTACTAGGTCTTAAGAGGTAATCCATCCAGTAGAGAGGCATTCTTCTCACCCTAGCAAGTAACTTTCCGATCACTCACACCAACCGCCACAAGAAAATATTACCTAAATCTGTAAGTCACCTGTGAAAACAGGAGGTATACACAGAAGAGAAAGGGATACTGGGAAGAAGGCCCTTTGTCCACAAGGAAGTAGGAAAGAGCAGAGGAGCTGGTAGTGAGTGCTTTGTTTTGGAGAGATGGTCAGAAGGAGTTGCAGTGTGGGCAGGAGATTTCTAACCATCCATCCATTGCCTTCAACTTCCCCAGCGGAGCTCATGGCAGTACCACCTGCTCTGTATTTCTAACCAAGTCTTTACTTCACTTCTCTAGCAAAGGAAAAAAAGAAAAAAAAAAAACAAGGAAAGGAAAGAAATTAAAAAAAAAAAAACAAAGCCCAGAGAGGAACAACTTAATGGATTCAGTTGACTGTGTCTAAAACACAGATCTACGATTTCACTCTTGCAACCTGTTGTAGCAGAACCATACCACGGGCCCTCCCTTGCCAGGAACATTTAACAAAGAAACAGAGGCACAGCTCCTGGTCACATTGGCTTTTCATTACAGCCACAGCTGAGGACCAGACACCTGTGTCTTTCTGTTTGTGCTCTCAGGCTGCTTCAGAACATGGTCAAACAGATGTTTGGGCATTTTTTCCCCCTCAAATCTACATACAAAGGTCACTTCCTGGCCATAGCACCGTGTGCCAGGTTCCAGCTCTGTGAGTTGCTGTGGCTGGATCCTAAGCCCCTGACAATCAGGACCTCTTAGTGTGAGCCTGGCTTGCATGCTGGCGAGTTCCTGCTGGGGGTGGCCAGTCAATCTTTGTTAGAAGAAAAGGGCTTTTCCTTAACTCCCCCCATCCGTGTAGCTTTCTGGGCCAGGTGTGTTTGCCTTTACCTTGGAGAAATTCTCAGTTGCAAATGCATGTAGTTGGCCTTCCTCAAATAATACCCTCTGCCCTCCCTAAACCTGGTTTACCCAACACCCAAGGGACCTCTTCTTCCCGGGAGACCCAGACACCAAATGGACCCCAAGTTTGGGACAGAATCCAGCCAGACCTGTCCTCAGAGATTTCTGCTTTCTTTACAGACTTAAACGGGAACCTGGGCCTCAGTATCTCTACCTTTTTAGAAATTAATATCAAGAGTTTTCTCTTGTATGATATTAAGCATTGTTATCATTTAATAGAACATCATGGAAAGAGTTTTATTTTTTTGTGTGGAAAATATTTTTGGTTTTTTAAAAGGAAGCCTGCTGTCACCCTAAGAGGAATAAATTTCTTTTAATTTATTGATACAGAAATTATATTTGTTTCTTTTCTCTTTTTTGTGCCAATCGTAGGGCTTGAACTCAGGGCACTGTCCCTGAGCTTCTTTGTTCTCAAGGCTAGCGCTCTACCATTTGAACCACAGCTCTACTAAGAATGGACCACAGACACCAGGGCTGGCACTTGCTTTTAGGACGTTAATTTCCCCAGGAATATGAGGATTTATTATCTCTGTTCTTCAGTTTGTTTGTCTGTTTGTTTTGTGCTAAAGAAGTTAACACACAATTTTGTTGACAGACCATAAAACCTTAAAGAAGAAAATAAAAATAATTCAGGAAACTATTACACTTTTTGCTAAAGATAACTATTTTGAACAATGAAATAGAGATTTTCTATTTTCAAATATTAGTTACTCATCCTGTTTTTTCACACATCAGAAGTAATATATTTTCACTGTAGAAAAAATGAAAATAAGGATAATAATAATGAATAAGAATATTTGTAATCTCATTCATCAGACAAGCCATTTTAAAGGCTGGCTGTATATTATATCCTTTTAGACTTTTGCTATATGAATTTTTTTGTACCCATAAAGCTGTGTTAATGTATATATAATCTGCTTTTCTATTCTGAAGAGATATTTTTTCATGTATGTTAAATATTCCCTAACATTAGTCTCAATGTAGTATTCTACTACACGGACTAAACATAGTTTACCATACTGAGGGTCACTTATTTCTCAATTTTTCATGATCATAAAAATGTCCTTGGATCTATTTTTTGGCACATTTCTGATTATCTCCTTGGGAATAATTTCTTGAGATTAAATTAGTGGGTAAGAGGATATGAACATTTAAAAAGATTTTGCTGTGTATTGCCAAAATCCCTCCAGAGAAATTGATTCTTTCCTTAGAAAAGAGGGAATATATGTTGCTCTGCCCTGTTAATTTTTTCTTTAATCTTTATCAGTTTAGTAAGAGAAAAATAACATCTTGTTAGTACTTTAATTATCATTCTATTACTAACCAGTTTGTGGGTTTCTGTACATGTCATCTGGTCATTTTTTTTCTTCTTTAGTGGTTTTACTTTTTATGTTCTTTGCTCATTTTCCAAATGGAGTGTATTTCTAATTTACTTATAAGAACATATTAGCTAGCAAGGACATGAATAAATTTAAGTAAGTGGTGAAAATATTTTTTTCTTACTTTGGCTTTGGCCTTTTGTGTATAGATGTGTTTTTTTTTATTACGTGGTGAATATTATCTTGCAAACTTTTATTTAAGCTTTAGGGTAAATGAATCACGAGTATTATATATTCTTACTAAGTTTTCTTCCAGCACCTTTATAATTTTATTTTTTCCATGTATTTCTTTGATCTACTTAGATTACTTGGTGATGAACATGAAGTTCTCTAAATTTAGTCTCCCAAATTTTAGTGTAGTGTTGCTATGTATTTCATAATACATAATTTCACAACAGGACATGTTACCTTTATTATGTACCAATTCATATATATATATATATACATATATATATATATATATATATATATATATATTACATATACCAGGCCCATTTCTGGACCCTCAAATTTCCTTATTTCTTTATTAATGTAACACTGATTGTAAATAATAGCACTGATTTAACTGACACAGATGTAATATTTAATATCAGTGTTTTCCTTACTAGTTGAAACAAATGTTTTGGCAAAACCTCTGACAAAGTCATAATTGAAACATAAGAAACACAGTATTTTTTTCTGAAATACATATCAAAAATCCCCTTTAGGACTTTTGTTACAGTTGTATTAACTTTTAAATAACTGGAATATAATTGATGATTTTTTACTGCATTTTTATAAAACAATTACCATAGCCGGTACTTATTCAACTCTGCAGCAGTTGTTTATTTTTTTAATGAGTTTATGTTACTAGTAATGTGCTGTGCAGAAGGACTCCCATTTGCTAAGTGGGGGTGCAGAAGTTCTTTGACCTCACCTAGCAGCGCCTGGTGTGGTGTGCCTTCTGGTCATTTACCAGAACACCCTGTGTCTGAGCAACACTTTAGGCTGGAATTAGTGATTAGGAAAGAGACTGTCTATAGAAAGGAGACATGTTCTAGGTATAAACGAAAAAGAGTGTATGAGTCAATGCAAGGCTGCATCATAAGAACCATCTTTGTCACTGTGTTTGAGTAGAACTTCTACCTTTGAGGACCCAAAAACCCAATCTGCTATCTTGGTGTCACACAACAACACAACAAAATACAACAGAGACTGAACCTTCATCAGCCTTGGGGCCTCCTGAGTCTCAGCCTCCAAATCTGTACCTTAAAGAAAGGAGGAATATTTTATGTTGTTTTTCTAGTTTATTGATGCTAGAAACAAAACTACAAAAGATTTCACTGAAACAATGAGTAAGACCCACTTTCGGTGCTTAATGTACATCCTATCTTACCAGAGTGCATTGGCCCAAATTCTATGCATCTACCACTTCAATTATTAGATGAGATTCTTGATTTTATCTTTCTTTGCAACTTATTTTCTTTGTTTATCTGATTTGAGGAAATAAATTTATTCAGATGTTTTCTTTTGTATGGCTATTTAGGTCAGGATGAGCTAAGGATAAGTATTTTTAGAGACATTTCTTTTTGTGATACTATTGGCTCATAGTTCTTCTGTAAAAGTCGCCATACTGGAGATGTCTTTTATGATTATTTTATATATGGGTGAACATAGCTCAAGATATCATTTTACATAGCGAGATGAAGGAAAGAGGAGATACAAAGCACATGAGCTTCAATTCACCTCGGACTTCCTCCTTTGTAACCTTTGTCAAAACTCATTTTACCCCACCCCCACCCCATGCCTGTTACACAGGGCAGATAGAGTTATCTCCTTGTATGATGTAACTTGGACGAATATTTGGATTTAAGAGGAAGGCCCTTCATTGTGTAAATTGCCTTTATTTTTCTTGGAAATTACCACACTTAGATTTGGCTTCCCCTAAGACATTTTAATGTTAATATTGTTAATATTGGTGTGGATTTTTCCCCTTTAAATATTATATCAGGGGAGGTGGGCTTGTAGCTTTATTTCCCAGGAGCACTGGATGTCCAGGGAGAGGGAAGTGATCTTCTAAATGTTAATAAACTCTTACATTTAATGAGAAAGCGGCCCACTGAGATAGCATTCTCAAAGAAGAAAGTAACCCTGTAAATCAAACCTCTGGAGGCCTGGGAGTTTGCAGGGAGTCACATGGCCCCCAGAGAGGACTTCTCCTAGGGTAAGAGAGAATTTTCTCATGCTGGGTAAATCTGAGAACCTTCTAAGGGATGTCAGTCTCGAGTAATCTGTTCACGAACCAGACCTATCTTAGCATCTCCTGCCATTGACTTCCTGCAGGAACTCTGTCCATGCATCTGCACATGTTGCCTGAACTTCCTTGACCATCACAGATAGGGTTTGTGCCCACCCCCTGGGGACAGGAAACATGTCACACTTCATTTCTATTGTGATCTTGGAATCTGGACCTGTGCCTATACGTGAAGCGTTTTTCCACGCGTTTCTGGAGGATCCCTCTTTCTGAGACGATTGTGCTTTGCTTTGCAGTCATGTCCTCCAGTCCCACCGTTGGCTCATCCAGCACGTCCTCCATCCTCCCGTTTTCCTCTTCAGTTTTTTCTGCTGTGAAACAGAAGAGTGCCTTGGCCCCTGTCATCAGGCCCCAAGGCTCCCGGTCCCCAGCCTGCTCCAGTAGTAACGGAAATGGATTCAGAAGTAAGCCAAGGGGCCACCTGGGGAATAGGTGAGACCCAGGTGACCCAGGTGTGGTCACAGAGCTGCTCCATAGTAGTCTGGACAGTCACTCAACTAGAGAGAGAGAGAGAGAGCCGTCGGGGTTGTGCAGCCATCACAAAGCAAGGGTAAGGGTGTACAGGGACAGGTCAGGGAGCTGCACGTCATGGAATTCCAGTGGGACCGCTATACCTGTGGTCCCTGAGTGTCTGGAGTCTGTGTGCTCAGTGGAAAGGTGTCTGACCTCTCATCCGATGCCACGTAGCCATATCATCTTCTTCCCTAAGCGGCTCACCACCTGCGCTGCATTCCCATACCACACGTGGAGTCAGGAGCAAGTTCTGAAAATTCTGGTTTAACATGCTAGCCAAATTGATAGCAGGTGCCTGATCGGGGGCGGGGTAGCGAAGGAAGAGAGAGAGAGAGCAGTCGTACTGTTTCTAGGAACAAAAATTAATATCACCCATCAAAGGCACTTTCAAGCAACGTCGGAAACTGTAATGTGACATGACATAACTCGAATGTGATGAGTACATGAGACTTGAATCACCCTATGGAGGACGGGAGGCAGCTCACGGCCAAAGAGCAAATTGGAGCCTGCTGGGCGCGATGGCTCCCTGGCATCCCACAGTGCTTTGCAGCTGACTCGAGCAGCTTCACGTGAACACAGGGACAAGCAGGGTTGGATAAAACCGTAGCTAGGCTGGGTTAACCACTCCTGGAGCAGGACAGCTGGAGATCCCCAAACCGTAGTAGGAAACCACGGCAGGAGCTGTGCACCCGCCGTGGTTTCAATAAGTGTGTGAGTTCCTGATTTTTCAGGGATGCGCGGGAGGGGTCCTTGTCCACTTGTGTGTGAATCACGCCCTGAGGGCTGTGTGAGATTGCTCTACGGCATCCTCTCCATGCTGCAAGAGCTGATGGAGATATGGACAAAGCCCATCAGGTGAAGGTGGCCCCCGCATTCTGGCAATTCTGAGTAAATTCAGCCGCAGGGGCTCCGTGCCACTCAACATGTGGATAGTTGGAAACACCTGTATCCTTCACAGAGCTTTTTTTCTCCATATCCAGATGTCCATGCCGTAGAGAAACAGTGCAGCCTGTAGCTAAGCGTCATTTCCCCTTCCAGGCTCCCAACCCCTTGCCCCCCCCTGCACTGGGGGAGGGGGAGGCCCATCTCTCATCAAGTACTAGTGGCTTCCATCCCACCAGTAATCTACTTCCTCCCCTGAAAGCAAGCTGTGGCTGAGTACTCGCTGTGTCTCCCTTCCCCACACTGGTTCCATAGCAATGCCCCTCTTTCTACCTCCCCTGGCTCTGTTCACAGACTTTGAGCCTAGTGGGGAAACACAGGGTGCGAGACGAGGGTGAGCTTGGTTTTTCTCCACGTGGGCTCCGGGAGGGGACAGGAACACTGCCCTTGCCGGTGACAATCGGTTTTACTGGAAAGAGAAGCAATGGCCCTTGAGCTCCCCTCAGCCTCCCCTACTCTCTTGCACAGGCACTGAATTCGGCGGTTCAGAGCTGCCCATTCCAGATCTGAATCTGATCTGGTCTGATCGCCCCAGGGAGACTCGCTGTGGGGCCTGCCTGGATTTGGGGCTACAGGGAGGCTGGGGCACAGGTTTTCCTGGATCTGTGGCCTGCCAACTAACCCTGTCTTCTGTGGTCCAAGGCTCCTGGATCATGGGGTGGGAAGGGAGACCCTCTCTGGGGTCCTCAGCTGAGCACATGGCCTGTCACCAGCAGCAAGGATGCTTGTCCTGGGGCAGTGGCTGAGCCTCAATCCTTGATAGTGTCAGTCAAGGTGATGACTTAGCTGTATACATGCACAAGCTCCAGGCTCTTGATTCTCTAGAATCACAGGAAATCTCCAACTTCTTTTGAATCCCATAATTCCCTTCAAGATTCCCTGTTGATGTGACCATTCAAAAAATAAATACAAGGGAACCCTACAAGAGGAAGCAGATAGCCCTGTCAGCTTAGAGCAATTGCAGAGAGAGATGGAAATAGAAAGGGATGCATGGAGACATGATGCAGGAGTCTAAGGAGAGTCTTAAAGAATATGACAGGCAGGATGATTCATTTTATAGGTGTCTGTTGGAACTCGAGTTCAGCTCTTGGCAAGCCACATGAGACTCTGCAAGCCTCGGTTTACTCATCTACCCCACAGGACAATCCGTAGCTATCCTCGAGTTTACTGTGGAAGGAACAGTGTGAGTGAAGATGGGTAGAGGATATTGCCTCAAGACCAGCAAGGACACACCACTTCCTGCTTGTCTCCATTTGGGACCATGTCAGCAGGGGCTCACTGTCCAGCTCCCTAAGGGGCCAGGAGCAGGAGAAGAGCGAGCTGGCATTTAATGCATGAGCACCTCCTCGGAGGGCAAGGCCTGGATACGCCCAGGGCACCGGCTTCCCAGGCATGGGGAAGACCGAGAAACGTGGGCCCGAGGGTCCGGTGGATCCCCAGGTGAGGAAGGGTGCTTTTCGTAGATGAGCTTTTAATTATCAACAGAGGCATGTGCAACCAGCACTCGCTAAGATACGCTGTGAGCAACGTACTGAACTGAGTGCCCTGCAACAAAGTCACTCCATTGAGCCATGCTGCCATCCCCACTTTTAGTATTAAGTACCATGTCCAAGGCCATACAGCAAGTGTCTGACAATTTGGACCCAGACATTTGGATCTCTGAGCCTGGTTCTGATAGTCCCCCGTCTTACCAGAGACTGTGCTAACGGAACTCCTCTTGTTACCTTTCACCTTTCACTACTATCTGCTTGCCACCTGGGCCAAAGGAAGGTTATTGTTTCCTGGGAAATGTCCACAGTGCAAAGGGATTGTACGATTCAAGTGTAAAGTCTCTCCGCTGCTACCCATGAAACAATTAACTTCCTCTCCGGTGTCTGTCTGCTTCCGGTCTGCGGGCTTTGTTTCCTACAAGTGAAAAAGTCCAGGTTACCCTGTGAGTAGAGATGCAGCCCACCCAGTGCTGAAGGAGGAGGGATTGGGAAGAGCTGTGGGGGGAGTCCATTTTCTTCTGGCATGGGATAGGTCTGAACACTTGAGCTTCTCTGTTCTCTGAGTGCTCCTTGGGCAAGCCTGACCTCCAGAAACCAGAAATGGATGGAGAAGTATTGAATATAACAGACAGGGTGAAGTTCAGCATGTGAGTCAGAATATACCCCCCACCCCCCAACCCCTGCTAGAGAGGCCTGTCTGCAGTGTTTTCTTGTCTCCCCTCGGCCTCATTTATCAGGCATTTATAGTTGATGAATATAGATTGTCTAGATAATATTATACAACGTGTGTCTGATTTATTTTCTAGCTCCCTCTAGGAAAGAGAAGAAAAAAAAAAAAAAAAAAAAAACCTCTTGCACTCTGGGATAATTACTAGAGTTTCTATATCTTCAAATCATCAGGGAGTGTCCAGAATTGAACTACCTTTATTGAAAACTTACATCGATTCAATATATAGTAATACAGGCAAAAATAATTAAGGCTTTGCTAGCTGTGTAAGACCTTAATCCAGATCTTGCAAACATTCAATAAAGGCTGTATGGGCAGGAAAATAGATGGTTGACGATTTTGCCCGAGAGGACTAGAGAAAGGGAGCAGTCGGGGGAAAGGAGGGGGAGGGAGGTAAAAGAGAAAAGAAGGAGGGGAAAAGAGAGAGAAAATGATGAGTAAATTGGGGAAAATAAACAGAATTTTGGCCCCTTGCTTCTAAGTGCCCTTCATCAACATGCTAGAATGACATTTGTCATTGCCTTGGTGCGGTGCAGACAAGAGAAATCAGAGAATTAGACCCAGACATGGCTAGAAGTTTTGGATTCAGAGCAAGTTTTTTTTGCCATTGTTCAAAATGTGAAAATCCTCTGGGTTCCTCCCTGACAGGGGAAAGGAATACATTTTGTCGTGTGATTTCCATATCTTCTCGGGCTACTCTGCTGTCCACATATTCTTGTCCAGATGGGAGGTAGCACTGGAGTGGGAGAAGGGGATGACTGCCTCCAAGATTAAGAATGAAATTGTTTTCTCTTCCCAGTGGATTGGCACTTGTAGATGATAGCATCACCTAGTAGTAATTCTAGATACTCAAGAGGTTGAGATCTGAGGATTGTAGTTTGAAGCCAGCCTGGGCAGAAAAGTCCATGAGACTCTTATCGCCAATGTATCAGTCAAAAACCAGAAGTGCTGCTGTGGTTGAATTGGTAGAGCACTAGCCTTGAGCACAAAGAGGTTCAGGGAAAGTGCCCAGACCCTGAATTCAGCCCAACAGCCAACAAACCAACCAACGAACAAAAAGGCTCAAAAAGGATAGAAAGCCTGATCTATTATCAACGATATACCAGCCAATGGGCTCAACATCTGGAATTTCCTTTTGTGTTCCATATAAGGGACTTGGGATAGTATAATCTGGAAGTTATTGTTAGTCCAATGATGAACAATTATCGGTACATACGCTAGAATGTAGATGCTCTGTCTATATCTACCATGTGGTTGATATAACTCCTTACTAGAAAACAAAACAAAATCTCATTCTCAGCCTGCAGCAGAAACTCCACAGCTGTGTGTCTGGGCCAGTGGCTTCTGTCTGTGACCCCAAACCTGCCCCTCTCTCTGGACTGTCCCAGGCTCTCCCCTCCACATCCCCTGCCCTCCTCTCTATGGTAGAAGTGCTGCCACACCAAGTCCCCCAGTCTCATTCCCATGTCACTGTTTGCCTTGCAGCCCTGACCGGACTCGTCGTGCCCCCGATGTGAAGCAGAGCTAGTCCTGCTTTCGCATAGCACAAAACTACTTAATCTGATGGACCAATTATGAGGAAACCACTCTGAGCTCTTTGGGGGAGAGTTGCTCCCTCCCCCCCCAAGTGGACATGATGGACAGATCTGGGAAGGCAAAATCCGTCATCTTTCTTGGTCTCACATTTCTCCTGTAGCTCTGCCAATAGCTACACAAACTGACCCCTTTGGGGACCAGGACAAAAGATGTCATTGATGTGGTCAGTACTGAGAGTAGAAATGCAATGCTTTGTTATGAATATTATGGGGGAGAAAGAAAACCACCTTCTTGTGTTTGTAAAATATTTAAGAAAAAAATTGGCAAACAATTCATGCTTAATATTTTAGATACTATTTGTTTTTCTTTGTAGGAAAAAAGTTGAAAGTTTCTATTCTCTATGAAGCCTTTCAGATACCAATTTAGTTTATGCAGGAAAAAAAAAAAACTATTGAACAAAACAGGGTAACAGCATGGAAGACTTTCAAAAAAAAAAAAAAAAAGAAACCTGAATTGAATGATGAAATGTTGTATCTGTGTTTCCTGATAGTTTAATCTCTTAAAAAAAAACAAAAAAGGGAAAATTTTAAAATGTTTTACAGTTATTTAAATAAATAAACGTGTAACTTATTATAAGTAGCAGTAGAAATTAAGGCCTTTTTTTTCTTTAAAGAAGAGAGCCATTTCTCTTTGTGATGTAAAAAGGAAACGAATCAAACATGTAGTAACGAGTCTTAAAGGTGTGTGATTGTAACTACAGTTACTTATTGGACTCCACCCTCAGCTTCACCTCCCTCTTTTCTATCATTTTTATTGACCCATGAGCAAAACTGTGGAACGTATGTGGATTCCTACAAGACTGTCTCCCTCCAAAAACAGACTCAGAGAATACACATAGACAGACACTCCAACCTATCACTCCACACCCAGTTTCCTCTGTCTTCAAATTAGTCTATAGACCCCTTTTCATATTCACTCTTGGTGAGCAGTCTCTAAAAACTCAGCTCTTCCCTCAACAATGCAGACAAAGCCGCGCTTGTTCATTGATCTCAGGCTTTGAGCATCTGAGGAGAGAAATGTCCCACCTTTGAGAAGAGCCAAAAGCCACTGGACTTTGCTAACCAAGGGCCCTCTTGCAATTCTTCCCTTCTCTCCACACAGAGGGGGGAACAATTTCAGAACTTCAAAAACAAGGCTGAGTACGATGAGATGATGCTATGTCTTCAACTCTTCAGGTCAGTCTGAAAATGTCCAAGTCCTCTCCTCACTCTGCTAACTCTTCCCTGTCTCTGTGATTAAATTCTATTTAAGGAAACATTATATATGTATTCCAAGTAACACGACTTCCAGACTAGAGTGGGATGGGTTGAAAAAGAGGATTGTTAGAACCCCAAGGCCTCCTGATGTTAAAGACATGGAAATGGGGGTTCTAAGGAGACACAGAGATTAGGGATGGCTGTGTTTTGAGCAGTGCAGTTACCCAGCCCATAGTCCTGTGACTAGTTCTTAGAGGTGAGACGTTGTAGTAGCTGCTGACAGCAGTTGGTTGGTTCCTGACATGCATCTGGACTTACTTGGGTCACCAGCCCGTCACCATGTTCCCCTGGGTCAGGGCTAGCAGTACTAGAGCTTACATACTGACTTTGTATCTGTGAGGGTCTGGATTGGGGTGCTAGCATTAGAAGTTGATAAAAACAACTTGAGTGCATGCAAGCCAAGTTTAGATGGACCCTGTTGCTGCACTAGCTGCAAATCCCCAAACCTCAACAGTCTGATTTGCCTTTAGTTCACTCTGGCCTTAACAGTATGACCCATATTTTTTCTCTATGCATATGAGAATGTAGAGAAACCTGGCATTCTTGTTTTAGAAACCTGGCATTCTTGTCACAACTGTTGACAGTCCTTCATCGTGAGGGCTGACAGCGCCAAAATACACAGAAATACATGAGAGAAAACGTTTCCTCAGCGAACAACCAGGTGGAAGGAAAGAATGTGTGGGGAGGGCAAACACTGCCATCTGAAATGATGGCAGAACAAAACTAAGCACGTTGAGATTTGGATTGGAGCCAATCCAACAGAAGGAAATGTTTAGTTTTTTTTCTTTAAAGTAACATTGCTTTTAGAACCTGTGAATTTTTGCTCTTGCATGAAGATGAGTGCTGCGGTACTATCTTCAGAAGGATTGTAGAATTTCTTGGTAGCTTTACACCGAAAAAAATTGTGTGTAACTAAATATCAGACGCCCTTGAAGTATAGCTAGAACCTTGGCAGCAACAGATCTATTTAATTGTACAAAATGTGTGTAAGGATTACTTTTAGTGTACTAATAAATTAAAAACAAAGTGACTCTGTTCTTTCTAGTCATTGCTTATGAATTCTTCGGTCCCAGGTTTATAAATGGTGCCACTTGGAATATGAATACTTGTACTAGGTGACTACAAAATTTGATCTTATCTTTGTAAGAGGAGCTGTGTAAGAGTTTTCATTTTAAAGGATAATTTACTCCATTATCTCTCTCTCTCTTTCTCTCTCTCTTTGGGTTATAGCATCAAAATTCTTCCCAGTTTTTCTTTGCACATTTCAAGTCAATATGCATGGTTTAAAAACCATTATCTTTCTCTACCTTTCGTATAGTAAAGTCTCATTTTGAAAATGTATAGTTTCATTTTTGTTTTGCTTTGTCAGTTAAATCCAGTATAAAGTTGCTATGCACAGAGCTTTTTGTAAAGTCGGCTTTTTTGTTTACTGTTTTTAATAGACTTACTTATTATGAGAGAATATCTTGTTTGTAAAATAAATGTCTACTTCAGTTTTAAACTTTAAATTATCCTAACAAAAAATAAATTTTTTTTTACTGTAAAAATGATCTTTGCTTTTTTTTTATTAATTTAAGTAGAAGAAATGTAGTTTGGGATTTGCTCTTGCTGGTATAAGTTTGCTCATAACTGCTGGTTTCTGAGTTTTCCTCTGGTTGAGAAAAACATACAGCTTTTACTTACATGGGGCATATGCCAAGATACCTAGAGGAGATGGTAGGTCAATGTTCTGTTCATATTTTTCATCTATATCTCCAGCTGTTCAAATTCCTTCATATTCCTTCCCTGAATTAAAAAAGGACTCTATTTACTTAGTTGATTTTGGATTCATAGTTTTTTCCCTTCTTCTTTGATACTAGAGAATGAACTCAGGACCTCTCATAGGCAAGCTTCTACCACCTGACCCATGCTCACAATCATTGCTCCTTTTGGATTATTTTTCATGTGGGGTCTTGTGCCTTTGCCTGGGTGAGCTTCTGACTGTGATTCTCCTACTTCTGCCTCTCAAATAGATATGCATTACCACCCCTAGTTTGTTGGTTGAGTTAGGGTCTCACTTTTTCCCATGTTGGCACTACAGTTGTATCCCACTCTACCTGGTCTGGACACATGGAATTCACAAGGTCGCTGGGGAGTCAGCTGTGTATGTATGTTACCAGAGGACCTGAACCCAAGGCATCACTTGTGCTCCGTAGGCATTCCATGGAAGTTTATTCACCTTGAGCCATGCCTCCAGCCCCTAAGTGACGTTGTCAACCAGACTGTTGAGAATCCAAGCATAAGTTGATTATCTCACTTCCCTCTGCAAGAGTACAGGTTATCTTCAAATCACAGAACTTGTTTCCTTAAGTGAGTGGCTGAGGTGTGTTTTTAAATGGTAAACTGGGGAAGCCGTGGACGTTTGTTTCTCTGAAGTTCTTCTGGCCCTTCCTCTGCCAGAAGACCCTAGCCGCTCTCTGAAGATGCGAGTGCTCCCATCTGCCCTCGGGAACTGAGCTCTGCTCCTGTCCTTGTCATCATTTGCATTCGTTTCTCTGTTGGTTATCTGGCTCCTCTTCCGATGCAAGGTTCGTAGGTGCGGGGACTTGAATGGGTTCAGCACTGAATGTGGAGCCCTGAGTCCAGTGCTGTGGCCTCACAGAGCTTGTAGAAGGGAGAAGGATCTGGCTCCATTTTCACTCAGATGCAGCTTAGCTCTGCCGTGCCTGGTGGAGGTGGGGGAGAAGAAACTGACGGGTCACGAGTGACAGGAAATGGTGCTGCTTTTCGATTACTTCTTAGGGATAGTCTTGGCCATCAGCCAGTCGGACAGCATCGTGAAGTGTGTCTCTAATATCATGTGTCTGGCTCTTGATCACATATTGGGGACAAAGTGGGTGGGGCTGAGGAAGAAGTGTCCTCTGGCTGGCAGTCTGTCAGGCAGGTTGCTTTGCCCCATTAACCTTGGAGTTCAGGGCATCTGAATGCTCTTGCTAGGATGTAATTCCAGAGCCAGAATCGGAGTCTTTTAAGGAGTGCGTATTCTGTGCCTATTCCAGGGAACACATTTATCTTGTTAACCACACACTTGAATCTCAGTGAGTTTGTAGTGTGTGTTCCAGGCTTAAAGAGGTTCTGAGTGGCAATGGGACATGAGCACGAGAGAGATAATATGTGGAAACTTCAAGGTTAGGTACAGGCTGAGGGAGAGGTTTAGTGGTAGAGCACAATGGTCCAGAGGACACCGGTTCAATGCCTGGCACTGGAAAAAGAAAAAAAAGAATTAGGTGGAGATATAGTCTCAAACAAAGTTGTCCATTATTTCAAGGGGTTTCTACCTTCTCCATAGTAATCGACTGCAGCTAACAGGAAACTATAAAAAACCTCAGTGTACGGGGCCCTTGTTCACGAATGACTTCTATTCAGATTGGTCAGTACCTGTGTTGCTCATTGTTAAATGCATTGAAATTGCAAACACCTCTGGGCTATTTCAGCCATCCAGACAGAGATGTCTGGTTCCTGAAGTAAGGCTGGGCCTAGAGATGCAAGTAGTGGAAAGATTGCAGAGACTCCTGTGGAGTTTGATGGATTTGTTGACTAGCGAGCTGTGGAAATGAGGAGAATGGGAACCAAGGATGCTGCTGAGATTGCTTCTTAGAGGACAGGTTTGGGTGATAACACTAACC